AAGCAAGGTCAATGGGGAGGCCTTCAGGGAAGGCTTGCCTTGGCGAGTTACAGGTTTCCTTGGTAAGTTGTGCGCACCGCCTCCCACCTGATAGAAGTCTGGGCTCCCCCATGATCATACTTTAACCTGTCCACTAGTCTGCTGGTAAACTGTCTGTGAGTTACTATAGAAGAAAATATTTGAAGCTCAGGGTGGAACTATGGGGTCCTTGGTGCTTTCTTGAGCTTGATGGTTTTCTTGCAGACATTTCATTACCAAACTTTTTGTTGTTAAATACTTCTCCACATTAATTGTGTCTGCAGATAATCGCCCAGCGACCCTCTTTAAGGTGAGCCTCCTCCTCCTGGGGAAGGAGGTGATTGAGGTCCACCTGGAAAAGGCGCGCTGAGGAATTTGCGGATTTTTGGGAAGACAAAATCGCTCGACTTTGTTTCCAGTTAGATGCCAGTGTGGTTGCTGGTCTGGTGGAAGCCCGAGGCAGGTTCTCGCCCTGTTATCTGGGAAAAGTTTGACCCTTTTGCTCCCAAGGAAGTGGACAGGGTACTAGGGATTATGCGTGCAATCACAGCTATGTTTTAGACCCATGTCCCTTCTGACCAGGGGTGAAATGCTAGTGGTTCGCTCTGGTTCGGACAAACCGGTAGTAAAAAAATGCTTTAAAAATTTAAAAAACGGTTCCGACGATCACAGCTGTGCCGTGCGATGGTCGGAATCTTTTTTTTTTTTTAACTTTTTTAAAGCATTTTTTTACTACCAGTTCGGGCGAATAGGTAGTACAAAATGCTTTAAAAAGAAAAAACAAAAACAAAAGTTGGCCACACTCACCCAGTCACATGACCCCCACCAAGCCACACCCACCAAGCCACGCCCACAGAACCGGTAGCAAAAAAAAATGCATTTCACCACTGGTCCTGGCTTGTGAAAGCTTCCCAGGAGGTGACAGGTGGGTGGACTGTCGCAGTGATTAATGCTTCCCTACAGGAGGCGGAAGTGCCCCAGCATTTTAAGGAGGAAAAAAAAAAAGGGCAGACTATTGATAAATTGGGAGTTATAATAATATTACTGTGTTAAATCAGAAGTTATCATATAGTGTTATAATAGAATGTTATTTTGAAGTGTTGGTAAGAGGGGGAAGTAATAATATTAATAATATCACTAGAAGTAAGGGTCAGTATTTGGAGGGGAGAGTAAGGGGATGGTAAAATATTATATAATCTGTTATGTATTAGGTTTTTATTTTGAAGAAGTCACAGGGGGGATGGGGTGGTGAGGGGGGGTTAGGGAGGAGGGGGGGGAAAGGGGGAAAAATTTGTAATTGAAAACTTTTTCAATAAAAAAAAAAAGCCATTGCTGGACTCCACCCAGTTGGATAATTTTTGACCTGTCTCCAATCTTCCCTTTTTGGAGAAGGTTGTTGAGACGGTGGTCGCGCGGCAGCTCCAGAGGTTTCTGGATGAAATGGATTATCTTGACTCCTACCAGTCAGGATTCAGGCTTCGATTTGGGACAGAAATGGCATTGGTCGCACTTTTGGATGATCTCTGGTGGGAGCGGGATGGGGGTAGTGCATCCATTCTTGCTCTACGTGCTCTAAGCTCTCGGTGGCTTTCGATACCATCAACCATGGTATTTTCCTGGGGCAGCTTTGGGGGATGGGAGTGGGAGGCCTTGTGCTATCCTGGTTCACTTCCTTCCTCTGTGGCCGCTCTCAGTCATTGTTGATAGGAGGTGAGAGATCCAGCCCTCGCCCACTGCTTTACAGGGTTCCGCAGGGCTCGGTACTCTCTCCGTTCCTGTTCAACGTTTATATGAAGCCGCTGGGTGAGATCATCTGTCACAATGGACTGAGATATCCCCAATATCCTGATGATACTCAACTGTATGTCTCGGCCTGTGGTGAGTTAAATGATGCCGTGTCCTCCCTTTCGCAGTGCCTGGAGGCTGTTAGGGGCTGGATGGGGAGCAACGGGTTGAAACTAAACCCTTACAAGACCGAGTGGCTCTGGGTTTGGGGTTCGTTGGCTCAGGAAGAACTACCACCTTTGGTCTTGGATGGGGTGGCACTGCCCCAAACAGACCCTGTGCGTAATCTAGAGGTTTTCTTGGACCACAACTCTTGCTTGAAGAGCAGGTGGCGGTTGTGGCCAGGAGGGCCTTTGCGCAACTGGGGGTTGTGCACCAGTTATGTCCTTTCCTGGACCAACTTTCCCTACTCACAGTCACTCATGCCCTAGTCACTTCCCATCTGACTATTGCAATGTGCTCTTCATGGGGCTGCCCTTGAAAAGCATCCAAAAGCTCCAGCTGGTGCAAAATGCAGCGGCCCACATGGTTTTGTGCAGATCCCAGTGTGCACACGTATTACCTCTCCTCTGAGGGCTGCATTAGGTGCCGATTTGCTTCCGGGTGCAATTCAAGGTGCTGGTTGTCACCTTTAAAGCCCTTCATGGCTTGGGACCAGGTTATCTGAGGGACTGTGTCTTGCCAGTCACATCTACTCAACACATCAGAGTGGGGAAGCAGGAAATGTTGTGGATCCCATCCCCGAGGTGGCTTCCTCTCTCTGGATCATCATTCCCCCAGAGATTAGAATGCCCCCCACTCTAATACTCTTCTGGAAGGCCCTGAAGTTCTGCCAGAGGGCCTGGGGAACCCAGAGCGGGATGGAGCCCATTAAATGGCTTGTGTCACCGAGGAGGGTAGGTGGGTGGGAGGTGGAGGGTGATTTTGTTATATTGTACTATATTAATTTATTTGATTCTTTTTGTTAGTTTTTATTGTTTTAAATGTGGTCTTTTATTCTGTAAGCCATCTTGAGTCACCATGGTCGAATAGGCGGCAATATAAATTCAATAAATAAATAAAACTAGATAACATCATCAGTGCTAGGAGGGAGTGGGGTTTGCTCTTATTTTTAAATACCAGTGGCCTGCCCTGACAGAGTTAGGGATGTTTTTGCTTCTTCATTTATAATAAAGTCCCATTCTAGGATTTGTTTTTAATAGTCTGCTAAATGTTTGGAGCAAACTTGTATTCTGGTTCAAGTTAACAGAAACCAAATCGTCATAGGACTTAGAACTTTATGACTGACGGCTATAAATTACATGACCAAAGGTCAAGGCTCCAGATTAGAAACCAGAAGACTCTATGTTCTAGTCCCACTTCAGGCATGAAAAGCGGTTGGGTAATTTTGGGTCAATCAGTCTCTCTCTCAGTGCACAATGTCAGACTTGGACAACAAGCCACTCAGTCAATTCCTGTTGCGATAGATTGACGATCAGTTGATTGGGAAAGAAAAAAGTGAACCCTGCACTTGCGGGAGGAACACTAGGAAGGGGGGAAAAAATCAAAGGTATTTGAGGTAAGAACTGACAGGGATTTCATTTCCTTCTTTCCTTTCCTTTCCTTTCCTTTCCTTTCCTTTCCTTTCCTTTCCTTTCCTTTCCTTTCCTTCCCTTCCCTTCCCTTCCCTTCCCCCTTTTCCCTTTCCCCTTCCCTTGTTTTATAAACCTAAAAGGTGATGCAGCAAGGGATATATATCCATAATTGGATAGCTGCGTTCCTGTCAAACAGGCAACAAGTGGTCAAAATAGGCAGCACCCTATCAAATCCTGCACCTGTAAACAGCGGTGTTCCCCAAGGCAGCGTTCTAGATCCAACACTCTTTCTGCTTTATACCAATGACCTTTGTGATCAAATTATAAGCAGCTGTGTCCTCTTTGCTGATGATGTTAAACTATTCAACCCCACAGACAACTCTACTACCCTTCAAAATGACCTAACCTATGTATCTGAATGATCAAACAATTGGCAACTTCAAATCTCTGCTAACAAATACTCAGTCCTGCACTCTATTGGCTATAGAAATAAGAACATCAAATATTTGCTGGCTGGAAATGATCTCATAGATGACCCTCACTCTGTCAAGGACCTAGGAGTACTCACCTCAAAAGATCTAAGTCCCAGAGCTCACTGTAACATCATTGCAAAAAAGGCATTAAGAGTTGTCAATCTTATTTTATGAAGTTTTCTCTCTGGTAATGCTATACTTCAAACTAAGGCATATAAAACCTTTGCTAGACCTATACTTGAATACTGTTCACCTGCCTGGAATCCTCACTGTATTTCAGACATCAATACATTAGAAAGGGTCCAGAGATATTTTACTAGAAGAGTACTCAAATCTTCTGCTCAAAATAAAATTCCCTATCCCACCAGGCATGAAATTTTAGATCTGGATAGCCTCAAACTATGTCATCTACGTTCTGACCTATGCTTAGTTCCTAACATTATTTACCAAAAAGTCCTACCTGTAAATGAGTACTTTAATTTCAACCATAATAACACAAGGGCTACCAATAGATTCAAACTCAATGTAATTCGCTCTAATCTTGATTGTAGGAAATATGACTTCTGCAATAGAGTAGTAAATGTCTGGAACACTCTACCTGATCCTGTTGTTAGTCTCTCTAATCCCTATACCTTTTACCTTAAACTGTCTACCGTGGACCTTTCATGTTTCTTAAGAGGTCCCTGAGGGGGTGTGCATAAATGCACCAGCATGCCTACCATCCCTGTCCTACTGTCCCCATTTATATGTAATCATTCTGTATTTATGATTATGTTTTGCCAATTTATATCCTTTTATTTGTGCCATTTTTTTTTCCATGTGTCCATGTCTATGACTATACTGTTACTTGTTTCCTTGTACTTGTTGACAAATAAAATAAAATAAATAAATAAATAAATAAATAATATGACAGGAAAGGGGCAAAATGGCATAGGCTACCAGATCTGCCCTGCAAAAATCTGGATAGCCACTTTATGGCAGGAAAGACAATTTTCCATATTGCTTTCCTGCTATCTGGTGTTCATCCAAAACTGTGCGGCTCAATTGACAACTCTTAGATTGCAGCTCTATGGCATTTGGGGCGGAGGAGGGAGGGGCAAGCAGAGCCCTGGACTTCAGCCCCAAATCAGATCTTGCTTCAGAAAACATTACATCTGCAGTTCTGGAAACCATGCCATGTATTTCAGAATAAAATGCTTACGACTGTCCTCTTAATCCAAGGTAGGCATGTCATCCAAATGGAAAAAAAAAACGAGAATATTTAAGATATATATTTCAAATTGCAACACAGAAGAAGCCCAGAAGAGGCTCACTCAGACCCATGACAGGTTTAACTCCTTTAGAGTCAGCAACCTCATTGGAAAACTCTGGCTTAAACATTGTGTGAGAAGAAGCACACGCCCTGCATTCCTGCCGGCACACCCACAGATCACTTCAGGACGAGAGGCAGAATGTTCAAGTCAAAGAAGGACATCAAACTGCCTGGGAGATAAGTTCAGAGTTGGTAGGTTCTATGACTGTAGCACCAACTGATGGCACCTAAAAGAACAGATCAAGGGTTAGGGCTGAAGTCTGAAGCTGGTGGTGGGGCTAAAATTAATATTTTCCCTTGTCCCATCAGAAGATGGACGTTCAGAAGAGAATAGAAGCTATGGATCCTGCATCTATCAAACGCCTAAAATTGGTGGAGTTTGAAGGAGTTCCTCTACCTGAGACCACAGTGGAGCAATGGGAAGCTATATGGGGCTTGAAGGCTCGGCCCGATGACCTTCTCATTTGCACATATCCCAAAGCAGGTAAGTATGATTAAAGAAGACATAGGATATAGGTACAGAAGGGTATAGAAATGGGAGGGCAGCCAGAGAGAATGAGAGCCACTTGGTTGCCTCCATAACTTGTATCCCTTTCCCCTTTCCTTGCCAGGGACAACATGGATGCAAGAAATAGTAGACATGATTCACCAGGGAGGAGATCCTCAGAAATGTGCTCGGGCTCCCATCTATGAACGAATGCCATTCATAGAGATGTGCCCCCCCAAACCCATCCGTGCAGGTGAGGAAAACAATTGGCTCTGGAGAGATTGTGAACAAATGGGAAGTGCAGAAAGCTGAAGATACCATTCTAACTTTTCAGGTTTTGAAGAAGTAGAGGCTATGCCCTCCCCACGCACACTCAAAACTCATCTGCCAATTCATCTCCTACCTCCTTCCTTCTGGGAGCAGAACTGCAAGGTCAGGATCCTGAGTGATGTATTCTGACCTGAGGGGAGGAAAGGACTTGGATAAGCCTTGGAAGATACACTGGGCTTTGCCACACTCTAAACCTCTAGGATTGGAAGCCAACCCAACAGAGAATAAACCCGGTTTGCTTTGGCTTACTTGATCCTCATGTTGTTTAGGAACTGTAAGCTGGGAGAGTGGAGATTCTTGAGGCTAGGGTTAAGGGTCAACTTTTCAAGTGAAGCTATGTGCATGAATACCCTTTGCTTTGGAAACAGAGATGGTATTAGGCAAGGGTGGGGAACGATGGTCCTTTTATGACTTGTGAACTCCTAGAATTCCTGAGCCAGCCATGCTGGCTCAAGAATTCTGGGAGTTGAAGTCCACAATTCATAAAGGAGCCTTATTTCCCCTCTTCTGGCATAAGGAGAAAAAAAAATTCTCATTCATGGAAGTTCTAGAGCAGTTAGAATTTGGGGCATTTTGTATCACTGTCAAGAGTTGCTATCTAGGAGTGCTGGTAATATGCGCTGCATCAGAGGCAGACGATTTTCTACTCTGGTTGAAAAAAATCCCTGCCATATCTAATTGTGCTTTGTTCAAAGTGCAGTCCTGCAAGCTAAGTTTGTAAAGCCCATAATGGGTTCAATTAAGGAGAATGTTTGCCCATGAGCCAGCTTGTAAATTTGCCGCAATCAGTAGATCTCAGTGTAGGTCTGACAGGAGTAAACTGACATTTTATATCTTTAATTATTAGTTTAGGCAATCAGGGATGATAATCTCTAACCCAGAGATTTAATCGAGCTGACCAAGAAACTGCTCTTTCCTCCTTCCTGCCATGCCTCAAGTGCTTGCTTCACCCTCTTCCTCCCAACTATAATGACAGTTACATTTTCGGGAGGGGGCAACTTTCCCAAAGAAGGAGTGGGGTTGACACAAGGTCGATCAAAATGAAGCAAAGCACTGCTAATATGCCCAGCTGGAGTGCTTGCTAATGCAGCCTTCCTTGGGAAGAGATGCTTCATAGTTGTTGCTTCCTTTCTGAAACCGGATGATGTTATGGCAAAGTTTTGTCCCCATCTGCAAGATCATTTGGTCCATGCAGATGGAGTGGGGGAAGGAAGCTTGTTTGGCCCAATTCTGTTTCCTTCCCCTGTAGCACATAGCAGGAATGTTGTGATCATATTTTTTCAGCAAAGCTTTTTAGACAAAGCCCCTCAAGGTATTTTGACCACCAAAGTCATGAAATGCAAACCAGAAGTTTATACCATCTGAGATTTGTAGTTGAATAGAAGATGTTGCCTCTTCCATAGAAATTGAAAAGCTTAGGAGCTAGAACTCCTGGATTTCATCCTCAATGCTTTATTTCCCCAGATCATTTATGTGGCCAGAAACATCAAGGACAATGCAGTTTCCTATTTCCACTTTCATCAGATTAGCAAACTGATGCCAGAGCCTGGAAATTGGGATGAGTTTCTGGAGAAATTTGTTGCTGGAAAGAGTGAGTAGATATTAGAGGTGGAAAATGGTAGAGCAGATGCACCACAGCAGATTCAGTATATCTGATTATAGTGAGGAATGAGCCTGAATCTTGGGTCCAATTTTTGACTTCCAACCACTTTTATGGAAGAAGGACCTGCTAGAATGCCAGTAAAATGCAATTAATTGTGCTCTGTATCAGTTTGCAAATCCTTCAATGTTTTTCTTCCCATTCTGAAAATAAGCAGCTGTCTATTTGATTGACTTTCTATCTCTCTGCCAATCATCAGCTTCCCCAGGTAAATTCCCTACAAATGTTTTGGAATCCATGATTCCCCTCCAGTTTGGAGGGCCTCCAGTTCAGAATGCATGCGTGTGTGTGTGTGTGTGTGTGTGTGTGTTACAAAACAATCAGGGGTCCAGTCCTTTTCCCTTCCACATTTTCCTTTCTCTCCTAGAGATCCTAGAACCGTGATGGTGAACCTATGGCACGCGTGCCAAGGTGGCATGCAGAGCCATATCTGTGGGCATCCAAGCGTTGCCCTAGCTCAGTTCCAGCGCACATGTGTGCACTGGCCAGCTGATTTTCGGGCCTTCCGGGCCATTTCCAGCCTCCAGAGGGCCTCCAGATGGGGAAGCCGTTTTCACCCTCCCCAGGCTTCAAGAAAGCCTCTGGAGCCTGAGAAGGGGGAAAAACAGGCTTTCTGGGCCCACTGTGCCATCATGTGCCAAAAGCAGGGGGAGTGCAGGGGGGCTGTCGCGCATGCATATGCTTGTGGGCACACGCATGTGTGACGCCCCCCCCCATGCTCCCCCCGCTTTTGGCACGCGACGGCAAAAAGGTTAGCCATCACTGTCCTAGACAAACAAAGAAGTTCAAAAGTGACTACAGCTTCGCTGGGCTTGGCCACATATCCAATTCTTTTAAAAGTTAAAGAGAAACAGCTAATGTTACTGCTGGATAAGGAGATAGGAGACAAGCAACAGAAGCAAAAGAATAGTGGCACAAAGAAAAGGAAAAAAAGGGAAGGTGGAGATTGGTTTGGGGCTGGATCACAGCGGGCTCCAGATTAATCAACCTCTACTAAGAGATGGAAGGAAATGTATGATTAATTTAATTCCTCTCATTTCTTTTTATTTTATTTTATTTTTGCAGCTGCCTGGGGCTCCTGGTTTGACCATGTTCAAGGTTGGTGGAAAGCTAAAAATTGTCACCCAATTCTATATATCTTCTATGAAGACTTAAAGAAGGTAGGTGACTTGTTTTTGGACTCTATGCCTACTCCATCTCATATGTACATCTCGGTATTTATCCTTGTTCTTTATAACCAATTCTGACAAGAAAATCATCAATCCCTTTAGAAAGTTCTAAAATCAGATCTTTTGACACATATAAAGCAAGCCCTGGCTGGCTCATGGTAGCAGTTCAGTGGATTATTGATGGCAGATCAACAACTTCCCAGCAATATTTGAATTATCCCAGCTATGCACCTAATCCGTCCTTTTTATATCTCATTATTGGAGCTGAATAGAGTAGAGTAGAGTAGAGTAGAGTAGAGTAGAGTAGAGTAGAGTAGGGTAGGGTAGGGTAGGGTAGGGTAGGGTAGGGTAGGGTAGGGTAGAATAGAACAGAACAGAACAGAACAGAACAGAATTATTTATTGGCCAAGTGTGATTGGACACACAAGAATTTGTCTTCAGTGCATAAACTCTTACTGTACATAAAAGATATAAGTGATAATTATGATCATAGTCATCATAAATACATTCATCATGAATCATAAGGTACAACATTTAGTGATAGTCATAGGATACTAAATGAGCAATCAAAATCATACTAGGAAACTAAATAAAACAATATAAATTGTAAAAATACAAGCAACAAGGTTATAGTCATAAGTAGAAAAGAAATAGGTAATAAGAAGCATGAGAAGAGTAATAGTAATACAGTCTTAGTAAATAGTTTGACAATGTTGTGGGGATTAGTTGTTTAGCAGAATAATGGCATGCGGGGGGAAAACTGACCTTATGTCTAGTTGTCCTGGTGAGCAATGCTCTATAACGTCGTTTTGAGGGTAGAAGTTGAAACAATTTATGTCCAGGATGTGAAGGGTCTGTAGATATTTTCACAGCCCTTTTTGACTCATGCAGTATACAGATCCTCAATGGAAGACAGGTGGATAGCAATTGTTTTTTCCACAGTTCTAATTATCCGTTGAAGTCTGTTTCTGTCTCGTTTGGTTTCAGAGCCAAACCAGATAGTTATAGAGGTTCAGATGAAAGACTCAATCATTCCTCTGTAGAACTGTATCAGCAGCTCCTTGGGCAGTTTGAGCTTTGAGTTGGCACAGAAAGAACATTCTTTGTTGTGCTTTTTTGATGAAAAGCACTTGTCCATTTTAAGTCTTGAGATATGATAGAACCTAGAAACTTGAAGGTCTCTATTGTTGATACTGTGTTGTCTAGTATTGTAAGAGGTGGTAGTATAGGAGGGTTTCTCCTAAAATCTATCATCATTTCTACAGTTTTGAGCGTGTTTAGTTCAAGATTATTCCAGTTGCACCACAAGGCTAGTTGTTCAACCTCCTGTCTATATGCAGATTCATCCAATGGTGGGCTTCTACCAGTTTGCCCCAGTTCGGGCAAACTGGTAGTGGCGGTGACGGGAGGCTCCGCCTGCCCACCCACCTGGATGTCATCATGGATGCTCTGCGCATGTGCAGAAGGTTCTGTGCATGCACAGAAGCGCCGCACATGCTCCCAGTTGCGAACCGGTAGCAAAGGTAAGAGGAACCTACTACTGGATTCATCGTTGTCTCAAATGAGACCAATCACTGTTGTATCATCTGCAAATTTCAGTACTTTAACAGAGGGATCTTTTGAGATACAGGCATTGGTATATAGAGAGAAGAGAAACGGACAGAAAACACAGCCCTGAGTGGCTCCTGTGCTAATTGTACAGGTATCTGATGTGATTTTGCCTAGGTTCACCTGCTGCTTCCTGTTAGGAAACTTACAAGTTGTGGTCAGGCATGGCTAGCCGGGCCTAACCACACTTCTAATCAGAATTCTAATCAGAACATTAAGTATTTAAGAACTTTCTAAGGAGGCTAAGTGGAAAGACATTAAAGTTTTATGAGAGATTCCCATATGTGCTAAGGGGCTAATTTTATAGCCTCTTGAATGCAATCCCAGGAATCATAAAATTGTAGTCTTACTTGCATATATTTTGGAGCTATAAACCATTCCACAGGCACTGATTCTCATTATCCCTGTATTGGTGTCTCTAATTGCTTTATTACTCTTTCTTGCTGAATCACAGGGGATACTGAGGGCGATTGTTCATGTAAGGATGTTATTTAAACTCAGAGCTCTTTTCTTCATAAATTTTAGTTTAACTTTGTCGGCCCTTTCCCTTGTTTTATAAGAATAAAACAATCTCAATACCACTGCTCAGAATGTGGGTATTCTGTGCCAGTAGTGATTTGATTGGCTTCAGCTAATATTACAAAATCTGGACGATAGGTACGATGCATAAACAAATAGTATCCTCAAGACTGATTTTAGCCTATTTCTTCTTGTTCTTTATAGTAATGTAATTCTAACCGAGGCCTACTGGATCCCTAGGCCCTAGACCAGGGGTCTCCAAACTTTAAGACTTGTGGACTTCAACTTCTGAATTCTTCCGCCAGCAGGGGAATTATGGGATTTGAAGTCCACTAGTATTAAAGTTGCCAAGTTTGGAGACTTCTGCCCTGAAGTATACTCTTTCCTCATGTTTGGTCTCCATGTGTTTCTATCTTTTTCTGTCTCTCTCAGTCTCTCTCTCCTTCCCTCCTTGCCTTCTGATAAATTAGGGTAGTTCCTGGATTTCATACTGATTGCTGATTGTCATGTTATATTGATGGTGAGGAGGTTCTTTGAATTGGTATTACTGTATAAACCAGTGGCATCTATTCTTAGAGGTTTGAGATTGGGCAATTGGTAAAACCTACACTGCTTATCAGATATCTAGATGACTGAAATACTGTTTTATCTTTGTTAGGGTGGGGTGGGGTGTGTCCCTAAAAACATCTGGAAATTGTCACTGGTCCAGAATGTGGCAGCAAAAGGACACACACTGCTTCTGGTATTGAAAGAGTTGCAGTTGCTTTCCAGGATAAATTCAAATAATCTCTATCATGTAGGAAACTTTGCATAATTTAGGTCCAGATTACTTAGAGCATCAGAGAAATCAGAAAATAGCAAATTTTCCAAGTAACATATTTTATATAAAAGTGCAAGCTTTTGTGAGCTATAGCTTACTTCATCAGATGCATTGAGTGGCTAGCCCAATGTTCTTCAACCTTGACAACTGGAAGGATTGTGGACTTCAACTCCCAGAATTCCCCAGATAGACTGAGGTGAGATTTAGATTGGGGTGAGGCAGGAGGGGAAGGAACTGGATATGTAGATTCTGTTAGTGTGGATGTGAGATTATAGCAAATCAAAGCAACCGCATCAATTCCCTGGGAGGATGTATTACAGTACAGAAATAGAACAAAATAGCTGACACAATTCACACTCACACAATTTTAAATAATCTGCAGCCCATACTAGACAATCAGTGGTGGGTTGCTACGGTAGCGGCGGCAGTGGAAGGCTCCACCCACCTGTTCAGATGTTTCTGCGCATGCACAGAAGCATCATGTGTGCGCACAAACCTGCCCGTCGACAGTATTACATTTTCTCGGTGATATTTAACCACAATAGACTAACATGGCTACCCAGGGGTGGGTTCTACTTATCTTTACTACCGGTTCACAATGGGAACGTGTGCATGCCCTTGCTTCACTTTGCATGCACAGATCATCAATTATGACGTCCGGGCAGGTGAGTGGAGCCTCCTGCCGCTTTTACTACTGGTTCTAAAGAACCGGACAGAACCGGGAGCAACCCACCACTGTGGCTACCCTCCTACAATATCTAGCCTGGACAGTCTTCCTAGCCCTCTTAAATTTTCAGTGGGACACTTTTTGCAAGTGCCATGAAGGATATGGGGGACCTCAACAGCTAATTCTATCTTTCTTATGGTAAGACCTAAACTACAAAACTTGCTATTGGAAATGAGACTTACAATTTAGGAAAGGACTTAAGATGTTTATTTTTCCCAGTCCTAAAAGAACTGTTTTATAATTTTTAGATGGATTTTAATCCTTTTATTCTATTAGGATTTTATTAGGATTTGTCGATTGCCTAGAACCAGTATTCCAAGCAGTGATTAAAGATGAGCCCCCCAAAAAGTGCAATGATATTTTAAAGTTAGCCTTTGAATCCTGCACAAACTGAAGAATTTTACTCACAATCTTACTTTTCTATCTAACGTCATAGGATCCAGCCGGAGAAATCCAGAAGGTTGCCCAATTCCTGGGATCAGAGCTCTCAGGAGCAGTTGTGGGTGAGATTGTGCAACATACAAAGTTTGAGAGCATGAAGGCAAACCCAATGGCAAATTACAGCACCATACCTAATTTCCTTTTAGACCAAGACATCTCTCAATTCATGAGAAAAGGTAATATTGAGGTGAATTTTATTCTGGCCCCATATTCTGTTGAATGCAGTAATGAAAACAAATGACTCTATGTTTATGTTTAGAAAAGGGCCATTAATAGAATAGCAATAGCATTTAGATTTATATACCGCTTCACAGTGCTTTATAGCCCTCACTAAGTGATTTACAGAGTCAGTGTATTGCCCCCAACAATCTGGGATCTCATTTTACCAACCTCAGAAGGATGGAAGGCTGAGTCAACCTTGAGACAGTGGGACTTGAACTGCCAAACTGCTGGCAACCAGCAGTCAGCAGAAATAGCCTGAATTACTGCATTCTAACCGCTGCGCCACCATGGCACTCCCCTGCAGAAGTGCCATCTTCAATACTAAATGCATCATTATTGTTGGATGTTGCTTCAGAGTGAGCATAAGTATCTCTACATGCTCAGATATGCTTACTTTCTTACATATAATTCCAAATGTCAGGACAGTTAACTCCGAGCAGTGAATTCGTATTAACAGGTATTACAAGACTCTAGAAAATGCTTGAATTAATGACTAGAAGATAAAACAGTGTGACTGTCTCTCTCACCATGTGTGTGTGTATATGTACGTGTGTGTTTATGCATCCTATTTCACAGGACCACTGCTTTAGCAATTAAAGTTGCTAAATTAAAGTTGCTATTAGCAATTAAAGTTGCTAATCAATCTAATCAGTTAACCATTATTGCCGTATTTCATATTCTGCATTATTTCCTTGCCTGCAGGCACTGTTGGTGACTGGAAAGAACAGTTCACTGTGGCTCAAAGTGAACAACTAGATGATCTCTGTGTCCACTTACTAGCAGACAGTGGCCTGACATTCCACACCCAATTGTAAACCTGTGTCTCTCACCACTTGACATGCTTGCTTTTCCCTGTATTTAATAAAATAGATGGCTGAAAGCAAGAGCAAACCAAACTATGTGTATGCCTTTTCTTTTAATACTCTTGGCATTAAGAAGCAAGTGGGAAGAAAATGAATTTATTTCAGTTTTTCTGCTACTTCTATTATCCCTGATTAGTTTGTAGAAAAAAGTACCAACCACATAAAACTGAACAGTGAGGTTTAACTTACAAGCTTGCAAACTTAGGATCAATCAGATGGACCATTTACACTGTCCCTTTCCCCATCTGATACTCTCTAAATCAGAGGTGGGTTTCAGCAGGTTCTGACCAGTTCTGGAGAACCGGTAGTGGAAATTTTGAGTAATTCAGAGAATGGTAGTAAAAATTCACTCAACACATGGCTCATCGACTCTGGAGCCACAAGCCACACAACTCACAATAGAAAAATCCTCAACAACTTCACAGAAAGAGAATATTACATAAAAGTAGCAAACCAAAATGAAGTTCTAGTAAGAGTAGGTGACACGCATATAAAAGGTATAGGAAAAATAGAGGGGGTACTATTTATACCCGAAATTCCGAATAATATATTGGCAACTCTAAAACTAAGCATAGAAAATGATGTAGAGACCACGTTCAAAAATGGAAAAGTAATTCGTTTTGATTTTCCTTCACACCATCTTGACTTCTTAATATATTGGCCCTGTTGTTCATTTATGGAACTGGAATGGGAAAATCATTAACTATCCTTTAGTTGACCTCTCAAGCAGGTTCTAAATCACCTGATTATATTGGCCCTAGTTAGATTTGAATATTGATTTTTTTAAACTCTTTTTCACAGAATGTCAGGTTGTTTTGAAGCTTACAGGAGTTTTTCAGTTTAAGAATAGAAAAAATAGATACCATCTTCCCCATATCTAGTTTTGCAATTCCAGGAATGCCCAATCTGTTATCCAACTAGAGATTTACAAGACAAGTGAGACTCTCCCACAGTTTCAGTATTTGTATTTGAACGTTGCCCGAAGTCCTTTGCAAAGCAAATGGAAGTGCTTCCAGACAAGATTTACATTCCTGTCAACTCTGGATCAAGTACAGAATTTTTACAGGGGTTCCAGACATTATTACCTTTCCTTTATATCTTCCTTGCATTTTCCCTCAACCTTTTTCCTATTAAAAATATGCAAGATTTACTAGAAACCCATTAATAATTATAGCCCCAGAAACTTTTATTCTGGAAAACAGTCTGGGATTATATGTGTTTGTCAGGGGCTCCTTACTAGATAAAATGAGTTGGAAAAACTTTCTCGAGAGAAACATTTGAAATCTGGTGGATTAGATTATCAAGAAATAGAAAGCGGGAAACCAGGTTTGTAAGGCTTGCAAAGCATTATAGGAGTCTGGAAAGAACATTTCCTGGTGGCTTAAAGTGAAAAACGACATCTATATGCTACTAAAACCTTTGTTCCTATAATCTTTAACTAGATGAAACAGTGCATCAAAGGACAATTTTTGAATCAAAATATCTCAGATGGGCTAACTTACACAATGATTTAAAATTTGAGATCCATTATTCTCATGGAAATTTGGCAAATTTTATAAAACATTTTCTAACACTGGCCTGGATTCGTAGGATTTGGCCTGTGAGGACAAAGTGTTTGTTTAAGCTAGTGCTGTGGTCAAAAGATCAAGGTTACAATTTCTCAGTCCAATTTATAGAATTTATACCAGTTCTCTAATATAGTTCTTACCTTACCCACAATCCAAATCTTATATATCCCATCATAATCTAGAAGACATCAAATCAAAGAAGGTTATGAAGAGAACCAGGATTTTCTCTCTCTTTTGGCTCCTGACTGCTTGGACTAGTCCTTGCAGTTTCTTGACGAGATTTTGGAAGTGTTTTGCCATTGCCTTCATCCTAGAGTGACTGACCCAAGATCATATAGCTGGGTTCGTGTCTAAGGCAGGACTAGAACTCCCAGTCTCCTGGTTTCTGTTTGATGCCTTAACCACCATACCAACCTGGCTCTCTTTAGAGAGTCCTTTAGATAAAACATGAAAACTGCAACGGTTTGCACTACAAAAAATAACATTCGGGCAACTGCAACTGCCTGCATTAAAAACTATTCAAATGACTTCTAAAGACAACCCCACCACCACCAAGAAAGGAGGGAGAGGACCAATTTAAATGCACTGGCTCCTACGACTTTATGTTTCCACATTTGCATCATTTATTCGCGCTAAGCGTCCCCCAATAAGCCCGGTAGGATCAGGAACCGCAAATTTCTGCAGAGACCCATTTTCCATATAACCCCATTAGGTCCAGACGGGAAGGCTAAATGGCGCTTTCTGTGGCTACAAGGCATCATGGGAGTTGTAGTTCTGTGGTGTAGTGGCGACAGGCGTCGACCGAAAAACACGCTTTTGCGTCCGCGAAATGCCTTTCGGGAGTTGTATTTCTACATCTTCCCAGTCGCCTTTGCTGATTCCGTTGCCGCCAGAAACAATGCCAGGGAGCCGAGGTGGGAAGTCCCGAGAAGCCGCCAACCCCTCCGTTGAGGGTGGGACGGAGTTGGTGACAGAACGAGTCCTTCGGGAGGCCCACTCACTTTATGTTCACCCGGGTCATGGTGAGAGCTGAGGGGGATAGGATTGGCATGTTGTTCGGGGATAGAACAACATGCCAAGTGTCAGCCATTTCCTTTATATTCCCAGGTTTGGTGTCCATAGGAAAGCGCCTGGGCCTGACCCTGCTTCCCCCTCGCCGTAGAATCACTGTCATGGTGATGGGCAACCACAGTGCTGGGAAGAGCAGCTTTATCAACTGGTGAGCTGAAGGGCAATATCAGAAAATTGATCAAGGGAAGTCAACACTGAGAATGGCATCATTAGGATACGGAACCAAAGGTTGTTGGTATGAGGGCAGGGCATTCTGGGAAAATCCTAATTGAGGGGGTGATATGGTACATGGCATTCTGCAAAAAACCTGGAAAGTTATCCATAGTACGGATAATCTTTGATTTACGACCACAATTGAACCCAAAATTTATGTTGTTAAGTGGGACATTAGTTAAATGAGTTTTGCTCCACTTTACGACCTTTCTTGCCACGTTAAGTGAATCAGGAGCCTGAGTGGCGTAGGAGGCTAATGCCTCCTAAGGCAGCATTTAATATCCAGCTGGCTGCAATTATTGTGAGTTCAATTCTCACCAGGCTCAAGGTCGACTCAGCCTTCCATCCTTTCTAAGGTGGGTAAATTGAGGACCCAGTTGTGGGGGCAATAAGCTGACTTTGTATAAATATACAAAAGTATGAAGGCTATTGCTTAATGCATTGTAAGCCGCCCTGAGTCTCCAGAGAAGGGCGGCATATAAATCAAATTTAAAAAAAAAAATCACTCTCCGGAGACTCAGGGCGGCTTACAGTGCGTTAAACAATAGCCTTCATACTTTTGTATATTTTATACAAAGTCAGCTTATTGCCCCCACAAACTGGGTCCTCAATTTACCTACCTTAGAAAGGATGGAAGGCTGAGTCAACCTTGAGCCTAGCAAGATTCAAACTTACTTTAATTGCAGACAGCTGGTGTTAAATTACAGTGCCTTTGTCTGCAGAGCTATCCATTTAATTGCAGACAAGTTGCAGGCAACCTGTAAGTTGTGGGAGAGTTTAGATCTTGCAGAAATTGTTGCTTCTAATTTATTTTAACTATAAAAAATGGTGAAATTGTTGTTTATTTGTTTCCATCGGTGATTAATAAGAGGTGTATTATATTGGGGAAAGACTTCCATTTAAAATGGCAGTCTGAAAAGCTGAATCTCTCAATAGCTCCTTTGAGAAAAAAAAAAACTCTCCACTCATATACTTCTGCCCAAGTTTATGTCAAAAGAAGTAATTCAAGGCTACCAAGAAAAGATGCATGAACAAAATGAATACAGTTTGTCAATTATACTGAATATTATCTGGAAGAGTTAATATTTTTACATCTAGTTTTAATACAGGGGGAGGGATTGTAATCCATGGACGCCTAAATTATTGTGTCATTGAGGCAAATGATGATGATGTAATGGAAGAACAAATGGGTGTTGAGACACTTGTAGCAATTTAGCAACCCAGGACATTTCAGGAAATTGACTCTGAATGTGTTGTAATACTGTACTTCCCACCATCAGTTCAGATTTGGCCATATTTGCACATAAAGAAGAAAAAGATTCTATCTTGGTTTTCTTAATGTATTTGTGCAGGTATGTAGAGGAACACATCCAACGTACTGGGGTTGCTATTGAGACTCAGGGCTTCACCTTCATCACCAGTGGAAATAAGCGAGAATCTCTCACGGTGAGATGTACAAAGACACTCATTTTTTGCATGTATTGCTATTATGGCTATTGCTATTTAACCAGTAACACTTGCCCTTCTTCAATATAGCAGCCACTGCCCTTCCTTCCAGGCAATCAATTCTTCCTGTCCTCCAGTTTTGTTTTGCTTTGTTTCATTTTCCTATCAGCAGCAAATCTACATGCAATCATTGAATAGGCTTACATAAAGATATTTAAAAGTTCCTCTCCCCACCCTCTACATTTCTCTCTCCCTTAAAAAAGTAGTGTAATCTAATTTTTTTTGCCACTGGTTCTGTGGGTGTGGCTTGGTGGGCATGGCTTGGTGGTCATGTAACTGGGTGGGCGTGACCAACTTATTTTTTACTTTTTAAAGATTTTTAACTAGTAAAAAAATGCTTTAAAAAGTAAAAAAAAGGTTCTGATGATCAGAACCTGACCAAACTGATCCTCCTCGCCAAGCCAGATCCAACGCCTCCTAGCCCCGAAGATTGCAAGCCTTTCCACCTTGGCCACCCAGTCTGGGAGATGATGGAGGATGGGGGGAGGGAGAGAAAGAAACAAAACGCTCTGCTGCTCCCCCTTTTCACTCACCCAGAGCTTTCTGCTGCGGATTTTCACGACTTGCTTCACGAGCCCGGGATTGTCTCCCTCGTCTTCCTTCCTCCTCCTCTCCAAGTGGAAAAATGCCAGGAGCAAGCAAATGCTTCTTTTGCACTTGCTCCTGGCGTTTTTTTTCATTTGTAAGGAAGCTTTCATACCTGTGAAGGCAAGTCTTGCTTCCTGTGCTAAAAACCTCACCAATACTGCTGTGCCCACGGCTTGTGTGTGTGTGTGTGAATGTTGGGCATGGGCTGCTGCAAAAGACTAGGAGCAAAGACACACACACACACACAGAGAGAGAGAGAGAGGCTTTAAAAGACCTTTAGAATGACTTGGGGCTCCTGGTTGGCCTCCAAAGAAAAGAGGAGTGAAGGCAGGATGGATTGGAGGGGTCATTTCCTTCCCCGCCCTTCCTCCGCACCGACATTCAGTGCAGCACACACACACATACAAAGGCTTTTAAAAGACTTTAGAACGACTCGGGGTTCCTTCTGGTTGGCCTCCAAAGAGAAGGGGAATGAAGGCGGGGATGGATTAAAGGGATGGATTCCCCAACTCTGGTTCAACTGGCTGGGGACAGGATGTCGGGCACAGACTGCTGCGAAAGATCACGAGCAAACGCGCACACACACACAAGCCATGTGCACAGTGGTACTGGTGAGGTTTTTAGTAAGCAGCACAAGAAGCCAGACTTCCCTTCACAAGTACAAAAGCTTCCTTACAAATGGAAAAACACCAGGAGCAAGTGCAAACAGAAGTGCTTGCTTGCTCCTGACGTTTTTCCACTTGGAAGATGGAGAGGAGGAGGAAGAAGAAGTTGAGGGGGACAATCCTGGGCGCCTGAAGCAAGGCATGAAAATCCGCAGCAGGAAGCTTGGGGTGAGTGAAAAGGGGGACCAGCTGAGCGCTTTGTTTCTCTGGAACCGGTAGTAAAAAAATGCTTAAAAAGTAAAAGAAAAAAAAAAGTTCCAACAATCACGCATCGTTCAGCTGATCCTCGGAACTTTTTTTTTTAAACTTTTTAAGCATTTTCTTTACTACCGGTTCTCTGGAAGTAAAAGCAGGAAGTAATGATGACCGGGCGGGTGGGCGGGGCCTCAAGCTGCCATCGCTACCAATTCTCCGAACCACCAGCCATCATCGCTACCAGATTGGCCGAACTGGTCCGGACCGGGAGCATTTCACCCCTGCCTTAAAAAAGCTTAGGTTTATCCAACCTGCTGATGTTTTCTTCCTGCGCATGGGTAGTGCAGATTTGGTTGGGGAGCTACAATTCTAGCAGTCTTAATCACAATAAGCAGTGATAAGGAATGCAGAAAGTTGTGTTTCACAACATTTGGAGGGCCACACATTTCTCACCACCTAGACTATGCAGTGAGTTTGCTGGTGGTGTAGAACCAAGTATGTGACTTAGCTCCTAGTATAGGGTCACATGTTATTCAGATGTTTGGACTTTCAAACATTACTTCAGACAGGCATATTTTACGTGTCCAAAGAGAAAAATGCATGAGACACAATAAAATTAATATTTAATTAATTCAATTGTAATAAGTTGCACTTATTTTTGTCCTGGGCCCATCTAGCTTTTGAGCATACACACTGACATCCCACATAAAAGATCAAAGGCAACCTTCAGCCTTGAAATAGTTGTGCACACTTGGTAAATAGAATTTGTCTAATGACTTTAAAAGCTATCTGCTACAGCCATAGTAATATCACGTATGCTAAAGCCTTCTGTTTCTCCACTCCTTTTCTGCAGGGCAATGCTACACTCCACCTCTACCCTCATTTTCAGATTTTGCAGAACTTCAAAGGTTAGTTGCAGACTGAAGATAAATCAACTTTTAATTCAGAACAGTGCTATGTGGCCTGAATGACTATTGCCTTTGATCAGGAAGCTGACATTTAAAAGTTGGGGTAATTGATCATTGACAGCTTGCCTGTAACAATGCATGTAGATAATGGTGTCTGGTTTTAGGATTATTAGAAGGAAAATATGGTGTTTGTTGTCTGTTAATGGCAAGAAGCTGCTAGTAAATTTTAACATTCTGCTCTTTATCATTCATTTAGGAGTGCCAGAATACATGAGTACTGAGATTTGTACCGCCAAGCAGAAACAATTTCCTCTGATCACTTTTCTTGATACTCCTGGCTTGGTGGATGGTGATATGAAATACCCTTTTGATGTGGAGAGAGCACTGATCTGGTTTGGTGAGTATAGCTTCAGGAAATAGTCTTGGTTCCTGAAGAAGGATTCTATTAAATAGGAGCCTGGCCTCAGGAAGTCTTGAAAACACGTTTCCCAAGTCATCCTAGCCCTCAAAACGAAATAGATGTGTGTGCCCGAGAAAGGTTGAATCAGAAGATGGATTAATATAGATAAACCAGGAATGGTTTCAGTCTTAGGAAAAATCCTTGAAAGAGTTATTTTAGGATCTGGAAGAAAATACAAGTATAGTGATGGGAGAACAGATTTTAGCATAGGGCATTTTCTACTGTAGTAGCTCTTAGCTTGAAAGAAATTGTTTACTGATTTATTATTTCCATATGAATTTTCTCCCATGTTATATAGCACTCTATATAATCCCTTGTAATCTTGTTCAGGTCAACTCTGCGATCTCATCCTGGTCTTCTTTGATCCCATGGGGCAGGCTCTTTGCAAACGCACCTTAAATATAGTGGAGAAGATCAATGAAGAGCATGGCGACAAGTTACACTTTTATCTGAGCAAAGCTGATGAGGCAGGCACTGAGGGTGACCGACAGGTAGAAAGTCTCCCATGGATAACGGGATGGGGAATGGCCCTCTCATGGAACAGAATAAATTAAGAATGGCAGATTGTAAAATCATGTGTGTGTGTGTGATCTTTTTCTTTTTGTCTGACAGAGAGTGTTGATGCAAATTGTTCAAGAACTTTGTAAACGCCCTGGCCTCAATAAATGTGGGTTTGACATGCCTACGATTTACATTCCCAGCCCCAATAAGGTGAGTGACAAGCTTGCAGTTATTTTAGATATAAGATGGAAGCAGAAGCCATAATTAATCCAGACTTCTGGAAGGATGGGTGAGCCTTGGGATGGATGGAAGAGAAAAGCTTGTTGGTCAGCGGCTTATGAGGATGTGGAACAAATTGGGACTGAAAATAGGATACTGATAGATTCTCTGCAAAATTGTGATATGGGTTTTGCACTCACCTATAGTTGAGTCGGTGTGTTAATCAGATTGAGGAGGTCTGTCACACAATTGAGAAGACCATCAGCCAGACTGTGCAGCATACACTGAATACTTTGGAAAGGGATTGCCGGCTCATTGAAGAAGCCACACAGCGTTTGCTAGAGGATGACAAGTAAGAACATAGCATTGTGGGAATGGGAGACTTGACATCTGAGAGGTCCTACTATTTACAACAAAAGAGGGATAGTATATCAGATTAATTAATTAATTAATTAATTAATTAATTAATTAATTAATCAATATAAATTGAGAACTGGGTGGAAAATTCTGAGTTGACAGCCGTTGAGAGAGAAATAAAGGATTGCTGTGGAAGGAAAATTGAGTAGAAAGTGAGTAGAAAATGTACTGAAAGCATGCTGTTAAGCTATTAGCTTGACCTACCGTATTTTCCGGCGTATAAGACGACTTTTTAACCCAGGAAAATCATCTCAAAAGTCGGGGGTCGTCTTATACGCCGGGTACCCGAATCTGAGTTGCTGGCGCTGACCGATGACACTTTGGGAGCGCCGGCAACATTGAGGGGAAGCTGTACTCCGAATTAGTTCCAACCTACAAGAGGTGCCAGGCAGTGCGGGGCCCACGAGAAAGGAACGCGTCCCCACTCTACCCCGGAATTCGGATCACCTTCCTTCCTTTCCCAGCAGTCCACGGTGAAAGCGGCGCCGCGGTCGACCTGGGCCAGCGCCTTGCACACCTGGCTCTGCGTCTCCATTATGAGAAGCCCCATGCGACTTCGCATGTCTCCGCCCCAGTCGCGCAGCTCTCGCAATCCGCTCACCGGAGGAGCCATGAAGTGCTCGCACCGCCTTGCCAGATCTTCCTCGTCCTCCTTTCCCCACAGCTTTTCCCGTTGTAATTGCTGCTGCTGCTACCGCCGAGGCTGCTCCTTCATCTCCGCCCACCGCACCAGACCCAGCCCGGCCAGCACCGCCGTGGCTCCCGCAGTCCAAGCGGATCGGCGCCCAGGCTCGCAGGCGAAGGGTGGGAGTGCACAGCGCACTTTCCTGGCTTGGCGCCGATCCGGACGGCTGCAGAAAGAACTGGGCACCGGCTGTCATGTCTTTTCTGATGTGCAGGGTTCAGCACCTGGGCTCCTGGGGTTTAAGCCTTTGGGCCGGCCCGTGCTGCTCCAGGATGTTCGCTTCGGGCTCCTTGGAATCGCTGCTGGGCGGTTCTTCCCGTTGGGGCGATGGTGGGTGGCTGCGAGCCTGGAAGAGGTGGTGAAATGCAGAGCAATACCTCGTGGGGAAGGAGTCCGCCGTGGCTCCCGCAGTCCAAGCAGATCGGCACCTGGGCTCGCAGGCGAAGGGTGGGAGTGCGCAGCGATCGACGCCGATTGCTGCCACCCACCATCGCCCCAACGGGAAGAACCGCCCGGCAGCGATTCCAAGGAGCCCGAAGCGAACATCCTGGAGCAGCACGGGCTGGCCCAGAGGCTTAAACCCTGGGAGCCGAGGTGCCGAACCCCGCACAGCAGAAAAGACATAACAGCCGGTGCCCAGTTCCTTCTGCAGCCATCCGGATCAGCGTCCGGGCTCGCAGGCAAAGGGTGGGAGTGCGCAGCGCATTTTCCTGGCTTGGCGCCGATCCGGACGGCTGCAGAACGAACTGGGCACCGGCTGTCATGTCTTTTCTGCTGTGCGGGGTTCGGCACCTATGCTCCCGGGGTTTAAGCCTCCGGGCCAGCCCGTGCTGCTCCAGGATGTTCACTTCGGGCTCCTTGCTTACCTTAGCTCAGTGGTTGGGGGGTCAAACAACCCTTTCACAGGGGTTTTGATGGTGGTGCAATACAGAAAAACGAGTGCAGCCCTTGCCATCCGGAATGAATGGTGCTGTTGTGGCGGTGGGGGAGGGGGCGGCAGAAGCGGGAAGAAGCGGCGTTTGCGATGGCTGGAAGCTGTGGGAGTGAAGCACAACTTTCATTTGTATGGCAGCAGCATTCCGCCTTGGTATATTTGTGTCAGGAGTGGCGCAAGGCAGCCTTTGTTTCCTGCTGCCTGGGACTCAGAGTGGTAAATGGCGTCTGATCCGGAGAGCTGCTGGATTTTGCTCTCTAATCCGGATGCCAAATTGGCCCCCTGCAAACTCTCGTCTCTCAAGGAGCGCTCCCTGAAGCGGAGCTGGAAACTTTGGTTGGACTGCTTGAGAGAGGAGAGCTTGCAGGGGGGCGATCTGGTGTCTGCAATGGAGAGCGGCACCCGGCTTTTTCTCTCCGCTATAAGAGCGCTGTAAGAACGGCAGCCCTCATCTCCTAATGTTTGGGACTCGGAGCGGTAAATGGTGACTGGTCCGGGGAGCAGCTGGATTTTGCAGTCCCAAGCATTAGGAGATGAGGGCTGCCGCTCTTACAGCGGAGAGAAAAAGCCGGATGCCGCTCTCCGTTGCAGACACCAGATCGCCCCCCTGCAAGCTCTCCTCTCTCAAGCAGTCCAACCAAAGTTTCCAGCCCCGCTTCAGGGAGCGCTCCTCGAGAGACGAGAGTTTGCAGGGGGCCGATCTGGCATCCGGATTAGAGAGCAAAATCCAGCAGCTCTCCGGATCAGACGCCATTTACCGCTCTGAGTCCCAAGCAGCAGGAAACAAAGGCTGCCTTGCGCCGCAAATATAGCAAGGCAGAATCCTGATGCTGCACTTTCAGCAGACAGATGAGGGCTGCCTTGGCCATCGGCTGGCGCAAATATACCAAGGCGAATGCTCATGCCGCACAAGTTCAAGTAGTGCTTCGCTCCCACACTTCTTCCGGCCCTCAGTCTCTCAGGGAGATGCTTGACTTCCTCTCAGCCCCAAGACACTGGCTGGCCCATGAGATGAGAGAGAGAGAGAAAGAGAGAGAAAGAGAGAATCAGAATGAGACAGAGAGAGAAAGAGACAAAGAATGAAAGAGAGAGAAAGACAGAATGAAAGAGAAAGAGAGAAAGAGACAGAGAGAATCAGAGAGAGAGAGTGAGAGAGAGAGAATGAGAGACAGAGAAAGAGACAGAATCAAAGAGAACCAAAGAATCAGAGAGAGAATGAGAGAGAGGGAGAGAAAATGAAAGAGAATCAGAATGAGAGAATCAGAATGAGAGGGAGAGAGTGGGGAGAGAGAGAAAGAGGGGGAGAGAGAGAGAAAGAATGAGAAAGAGGGGAGAGAAAGGGAAAGAGTGGGGGAAAGAAAGAATGAGAAAGAGAGGGGGAGAGAGAAAGAATGAGAGAGGGGGGAGAGAGAAAGAGAGAATGAGAAAGAGTGGGAGAGAAAGAAAGAGAGGGAGAGAGAGAGAAAGCGAAAATGAGAGAGAGAGAATGAGAGAGAAAGAGTGGGAGACAGAGAGAGAGAGAGACAGAGAGGATGGAGAGTGCCTGAAGGATCCCATCCCGTACTGGGAGTCCAGGTGCTTCAGCAAGCGGGGCACTGGATTCGTATTAGTGGTCTGCGAAATTTAAAATTATGAAGTTGGTGGTCCCTGAGGTCCAAAAGGTTGGGGACCCCTGGCCTAAGACCATCGGAAAACACATATTTTTGATGGTTTTAGGAATAACTTTATCGTTGGGGGTCACCACAACATGAGGAACTGTATTAAAGGGTCGCGGCATTAGGAAGGTTGAGAACCACTGCCTTAGCTGCTTGCCTTGCTTCGCTTGCCTGAATCCATTCCATCAGCAAGCAACTCCCTGCCTACAACCAAGCAGGCAGGGAGTTGTGGACTTCAACTCCCAGAATTCCTCAGCCAGCAAAACAAAGCTGGCTGAGGAATTGTGGGAGTTGAAGTCTACAAGTCTTAAAGTTGCCAAGGTTGGAGACCCCTGTTCTATTGGGTACGTAAGTTTTTTTCCCCTTTGGGATCTTTAAAAAAAAATAGTTAATTGGGTTTTTTTTAAGTTCTTTTTTAGACCTAGCCATTTAAAGTTTAGGAAGTTTTAAATTTAGCTTTCATATAAAAATAAAAATAAAATAAAATAAAACAATATTTGTGCAGCTTTCTGAGATTTAGTGTGTTTCTGTAGTGTTTCACTCTAACTACACAAACATACAAAATCTCACAAAGCTGTATGTGGAATTTTGTGTGTGTAAAGTGTGAAAGTTGGGTTTTTGGGCTTTTTGTGGCTGTGTGAAGTTCCTGCTTGTTGCAGGGGCCATTTTGGGTCTAGCACAGCTACTTTTACATTGTGGATGAGCCAGTTGTGTTGTGTTGTGTTGTGTTGTGTGTGTGTAAAGCGTGAAAGTTGTTTTTTGGGGCTTTTTGGGGCTGTGTGAGGTTCCTGCTTGTTTCAGGGGCCATTTTGGGTCTAGCACAGCTGCTTTTACATTGTGGGTGAGCCAGTTGATGTTTTTTTAATTTTTATTTGGTGTGCGTTGGAAGAGGGGTAGTCTTATACGGCGAGTATAGCCCAAACCCTATATTTTAACAGGAAAAGTAGGGGGTCGTCTTATACGCCCAGTCGTCTTATACGCCGGAAAATACGGTATCTCAAAGGGTTGTTGTGTAATTTACAGCACAGTCTTGCTCACATTTACTTGGAAATAAATCCCACAGAAATGAAGCATTATAAGTGCCTTGAGTTGTAATGTAGACTAATAATCTAGACTCTTTTAAAGGAAGGCTGGTTACATATTCAACTATTTCAAATGTAATAAGGACTGGAAGGTTCTGGCTGCTGACCTTCATTTTAAAAGGAGTGAGAAGATTATAGTTAGAGAAAAAAAGTCCTAGGAAACTAATATCTGGGAGAGTTTTGAAGATAGTAAGCTATTTCTAGGGGAATGTGGGATTTAATGTTATTCAGCTAAATTTCTTCCCGAATCCTACATGCTGACTTTCACTTTTTCTGTTACTCAGAGAGGCCAGAAACAGCAACTTCCATGCTTTCTTCCGTGGGATGCTTCTGGGCATACCAGGTTGCCTATTGCCTATTTTTCTTCTTCTGACATTGATATTTGGCACAACATTTGCTCGCCAACTGTGGACCTTGGTCTTGGGGGAGAAGCAAAGCCAGGCCCTGGAACTATACATAGTGAGTATTTTGGTGTCTGTACCTTAGGGTCCCGAAAGCACCCTTTTCTCACTTTACACTTTACCCCTCAGTTAAGCCTTGTTCTTTTTTGCATAGAAAAAAATGGTGCAGGACATTGGAGTCCATAACCTTAAGAGTCTCAGCTTTCATGTCTTGAGGGTGTGGGAAACAGGTTTTTCTAGCCTCACATCCATAAAGCAACACAAGCTGATGGATAGAGTTTTAAAGCATACAGCTTCTAAAATCTGCAGAAGAGAGAGAAAAACAGCACAAATCTAAGGAACCTGTGTTATACACTAATAATTAAAAATGTCCCACAATTGCAAAATTCAGAATCCTGGATCTATCTATCTATCTATCTTTCTTTCTTTCTTTCTTTCTTTCTTTCTTTCTTTCTTTCTTTCTTTCTTTCTTTCTTTCTTTCTCTCTCTCTCTCTCTCTCTCTCTCTCTCTCTCTCTCTCTCTCCCCCTCCCTCCCTCCCTCCCTTCCTTCCTTCCTTCCTTTCTTGCAGGAGAAATATGTAGTAATCAAGTTTCTAATTCTTACACCAATAGAAATAGAAATGTCTAAAGCTTGCTGTAAGTAGAACAGATGATAGCCTAAAGCAGGGGTATCAAAGGCAAAGTCCGCGGGCGGGATTTGGTTGGATCTGGCCCGCAGATCATCCTGGTCTACCCAGTGCGAAGAGGAAAGATCAGGCCAACGTAGCTTTGGCCCGGTCTACCCAATGCAAAGAGGAAACATGCCAGCAGTTTGGAGAGTGGTATCAAGCTGGCCACACCCAGCCAGTTGGCCACACCCATGCAGTCAGCCATGCCCCTCCCTCCCCGAGGTCAACCACAGCCCTGATGTGGCCCTCAATGAAATTGAGTTTGACATCCCTGGCCTAGAGTAATAGGATAACAGTGCAAAGTATAACTTCATGATTCATTGTGTAACTAGCAAAACCACAGTTGAATAACCTTTATTTCTCTTGTCTTCCTTCTTTAAATTTATGAAGTTTTGGCTGTGGTTGGGGAAGTCTAGAAACAATCATTTAGAGAATGCCTTTTTGTTATTGATAGTTGCTGACTACTTTAATTATAGTTAAGATGTGTGCATATATACAGGTAGTTCATGACATATGACCACAACTGAGCCCAGAATTTGTGTTGCTAAATGAGAAGTGTATTGTGAGTTTCCCATTTTACGACCTTTCTTGCTACACTTGCTACACTTGTTAAGTGAATCACTTTAGTTGTTAAATTAGTAACAATTAATTGAATCTGGATTCCCCATTAACTTTGCTGGTCAGAATGTTGCAAAAGAGAATCACATGACCCCAGGACACTGCAACCATCATAAATATGAATCAATTGTCAAGCATGTAAATCACTTGACTATGGGGATACTGCAACAGTTGAAAGTGTGAAAAATGGTCATAAGTAATTTTGTTCAGTGCTGTTATAACTTCAAACGGTCACTAAGTGAACTGTTGTAAATTGAGGATTACATTATTGCACATTATTGCCATAGAATTCAGATATTGTTGTCAGAAATGTATTTTTATATTATTATTTTCTTAAAAAGTGGATAAATTTATATTTTCCTCAGCTAACATCAAGTATACCATTTATTCTTAATCCTAATTTTCAGCAGCCGGTTGCATCAATATGGAGGCTTGTCCCTGAAGATCAAACCTTAACAGTATTTTTTGGCCTTCTCTTCCTCTCGATTCTCTTCCTACTCTTGGCCAACTACACTCTCAGGTAAGAGCATTCCTGTTTACCAGGAAGGGTTGTTCATTATATTTCTTATAATGTTCCTTTGTATCTTTTGCCCCACTTAGAATGAAGCCCACTCTCTCCAAAAAGCAGAAGCGGCAGCTGGAAGATCGACGGGATTACGTGTTGGATGTGGTCTTGGCTAAGAAGGTTAATTCTTTGGGAACTTGGATGGGGTGGTTTGAAGTTGTGCCATGAGGCCTGGTACTTATTTTGTAGGAACTAAGTGGGCAGGGATACGAATCCTGTTTGGATTCTGTGGTGGCCAGAGAAAGGGGTTGACTAGCGCAGCAAATTTTAAAAATTACACTGTTTCTCTGCAGAGAAAGCTGTATGAGGAATACCTTCGACAGAGCATTGGTGAACAGGACTTGAGCTGAAATCAGCCTATTCTGAAGAGATTCCATGCCCCTCTTCTCCCCACTGCCCTCCATCAATACCCAGAGAAGAGCATTTACAACGGCAAGCTGTCGAAGTCTAGTTGATCCAATCCAGTTGCCATTTCTTTCACACCAGTTGGATAGGGATGGCATCCTGGGGCCTTTTGAACCGTGACTAACCATACTTCTAATGTCCTACATCTGAAAGGATTGATTTTTTTTTTTTTTTTTTTTTTTTTTTTTGCTAATCTGTTTGCTGCCTGTGGATAGAATGATGTTTTTAGACTTAGGAGGGGACTGTAGCGGCAAAGATTAACTCTGCATCCAGCTGAACTTGGCTCCTGGTTTTAGGGATGGTAGAGCCTTGCCCGATGTTAAAATAGGCAACTTTATAAACCAGTGATCTGCTTTGTTGGCTCCAATCATAATGGGTAGATATATTTGCATCAAGATGTAATGGGCACCATTTCTGGATTGCTGCCTTAGTCACTCAGTGATCTAAAGCGACAGTTCACATAAACTTATGCTAAATATAGCATAATTTTATCTGTCATTTGTAGAATACCTCATATTTCTAAATGTACCAGCATGCTACGGGCATGCAGATGACTGTATTCCCTTCCATTTCAAGCAAGTGCCTTTATGTGACCATCTCTTGGGAGTGAAAGATGGGACATGGTTCCTGGTAACAGTCTCTTCATTGTTTGGTCATAGCCCAACCAATGCCAGTATATACTTAACACTGTGAGATTTCCCCAAACCTGTGACCTTCTAGGCTTTATAATTTATTCAGCATCCCATGGAACACACTGGGAACCCCAAGCCAGCTTTTCCTCCAATGCCAGGAAGTATAAGTTATGCTGAAAAGAACCCACTGTTTTGGCCAGTACAGCTCACTTGATTTCACTGCCCTGCATTCATCAATTCTGGGATACCGCCATTATCATGGCTGTATCTAGAAACAACACTTTGCTGACTCTTCTGAAATGCTATGTATTAAGTCCTTCTGAAGTTAGACTTCAGTTCCCATCAGCCTTAAGCAAAATAATGTAGTTCATCACAGGGCTGTGGAGTCGGGAGATAAATGTTCCGACTCCGACTCCTCAGTTTTTTGTACTTCCGACTCCGACTCCTCAGTTTTTTGTACTTCTGACTCCAACTCTGACTCCGGTCTTTATTCTTACAGTAGAGAAGTCATTAATTATAACTTTTTGTGAATTGGGACATTTAAACTTGCTTTTTTTAAAATTCCAATCTAAATTTAGTAGGAGTCAGAGTCGGTGCATTGTTTGCTGACTCCGACTCCAGGTACCCAAAATTTCCTCCGACTCTGACTCCGACTCCACAGCACTGGTTCATCATGTTATAGAGGTGACATTACTGTGCAGAATTTTTAACAGGGTCCTTTATAGTAAGTACAACAAAAGAAATTAACTTCTGGCTTCAAATTGAACAAGAATTTTCTATTTGGGGATAGGAAAACAGTTGACCCATATTACCCTGACTGATAATCCATTAAGATAATTTTGGTAGCTCTTTATCCTCTGTTCCCTATCAAATTGAGGGGGGTGGGGGAATTGGTTTGCATTGTCTTTGCTTCTCTGCAAGCTCTTTTATCTTATTGGCATGAATTTCTGGAGAGTGGCAGAGATGGAGGTTGACAAACCACATTAAATATTTGCCAGAAGTTATTTAACATTTATTATAATGCATCTTTTCTTGGGGCATTGAACTGACCTGAAATCAAAGGATTAATTTTTTATGCCATGTGCACCAGTAAATACTGCCAACATACTTCGGAAGGGTAGAGGGGGGGATTTGACTATTTAATAAAAGCTTATTGTAAAATCTGCCTAGTTCTCTTCTTTCTGTTCACCGTGAAAGTCTATGCTTCATTTCAAATAATTGTGAGAAAACAGTTTAGCCAATTTTATTTAGCATGAAAAAACACAAATGTGCATCTTAAGGAACTAAAGATTGAACATAATGCTATTCCCTCTAATATAGGTTTTTCTTGATCCATTCTTCTGCCCACTCCCCATTTCCCTAATTTATTTAAGGTTAGCATTGCTACAAACTCATTTTCCACCATACTATAAAGTTTACTCATCTATTTTCACCCCTTTTTAAAGAGAAAAACAAACAAAAAACCTGGGCTACTATTAATAACAGCATTTATAGATGAATCTATTCCTCCTTCAGGATAAGTTTCAAAATTATTTAAGACATCACAATATCCTGTGATGTGATATAAGTGGAAAGGAAGATTGAAGAAAAAAAGAGTAAGCTTAGGAGAACTATTTGCTTTTCCAAGCCTAAGTACAATCATTCCATTTCCTTTTCCAGAGTGAATAACGATTAAGGCAGTTTTCTTTTTTCCCCTGATGGTTTTGGGATGAATTGCAGCCTTCACTTTCACTCGCTCCTAATGTGAGCCCTGTTTACCATCTTCCATAATTCAAGAAGCCACCAAATTACATGGCGTCCATCCGTCAGTCTCTGTATCCTCGTCGACATTGCCATGGTGTCCAGAACCTGAATAGCAAACCAGATTCAGAGCTGGCAAGAGAGGAAAGAAAATGGTGAGTGATGGGTACAGCTTCTACCTTGGGAGGAAAAAAAAATGTTTGCCGCCCCCATATGATAAAAATGGTTTAAGAAAGGTGTCCAACCTTGCAATTTTTAAGACTTGTGGACTTCAACTCCCAGAATTCCTCAGCCAGCATGGCTGGTTGGGGAATTCTGGGAGTTGAAGTTCACAAATCTTAAAAGTTGCCAAGATTGGATACTCTTGGTTTAAGAGAATAAATATATATATATTGCATTTGATATGTGGCTGTATGTCCTCCCTCTGCAAGGAAAGCAGCCCCACCAAACTCTACCAATTTGTGAAGGGACAATCACTTGTGGTTAAAACTCTTGACATTAGTGGAATTTATTTATTTCAGTCAAGCCATGCACTGGCTTACCTTCATTTTTTCATTTTTTGGAGGTGGTTGCCTTTCGCTTCTGCTCTGTGCGTTGCAGCTTCAAAACGATCTTGCGCTCATGGCCACCAGGATTTGGGCGATTTGTATGATCCTCAGCCTCTTTCTTGGATCGGCCTTTGCGTGAAGAGCCACCTAGGGATACCCCAGAACAACAGTTACTTACTTACGGCCATTGAGACTCGCTCTTGTATAAATCCAGTAGATAATCAACAGTTTATTATCAACTTCAGCCTCTCACTATCTATTAAAGTAGGAGTAGCAAGAAGAGCCCAGGATGTCAAAAAAAGTCAAGATGGCAACCATCACTACATGATCAAAACAGCTACTTTTTACATGCATTGCATACCACCTTAATTTATTCCTTTTGCAATCAGCAACCTTTCCCTTTTCACCCTTGTCTTAGCAAAGAGTAAGAACTATTGTGAAATTTTGGTGCATAATCTTTAGACCCCATGAAAAAGTGTTCTAGCTCTCTGGAAAAACTTGGCTCCATATCTACTAAAATAAAATTTTAAGAGGGTTATTTTTAGGGTTTGTGGTTGCCAAACTTTACAAGCCAATACTAATTTGAGGATAATGTTTTAGAAAGGATAATAATAGCTTTGAGCAGAAAGTTTCCACTAAAATAAATTGTCAGGGCTTGTTTTTGGCCATATAGTAGGTCCGTGCCTATGTAGAAAATCTGGCTGGAACTTTTTGATGTGCACTAGAGTTTATTTTTCTTTGGCTTCTTTTAAAATGCAAAAGCAAATTCAGGAAGCTATGACTTTTTAAAAAAATTGATGGGATGAAAAAACAGGCTATTATTTTTTGTTAGGAATTCAGCAACTTGGAAGCTGGTGGGTTTTTTTCCAGTCACTAGAGCTAAAACATAAATTATGTATTTATTTTTAGCAAGGGCATGTTTGCCAGCCATTGTGGGAATCATGTGCCAGGCACACACAAATCTGTAAGCAATGCCAGCAAAGTCCCTGGGTGTCTGTGGCTATAAAACCAAACTGGGACTTTTAACAGCTTGTAGCTGAGTAAGAGAAAAACCTAATAAACCATTTGGTTAATTAGCCCACAATGCCTGGGTTTACGTACAATACTAACCAAATCCAAGAATCTGGAGAGTATCTTAGTTCACAAATTTTGTGAAGTCATAATTTATTTAGCTATCCAATTGTCAGATCGTGAAGCCAAGGTATGGTTCGCCCACAAGGTTTCAGAAATAGTTTAATATTTATTATTATGCAAGTTCTTTCAACTAACTCCTTGGTGTATAATAGAGCTGTGAGTATTTTTCACCTAGATTAGTATGTATTAAAGCAATTTTGTAGAGATTCACGTTTCTGTGTTATGGGCATGGTGTTTATTACAATAGGCTTGAAGGTGAAATCTGACATCTAATCGGAAAGACAAATTCCAGATTAAAATTTCAGAACAGAACCAGAAAGAGGGCTAAGAAAATAATATCTTCAGACCCCTCACATCCTGAACAGTACAGAATAACAGAGTTGGAAGGGATCTTGGAGGCCCTCTAGTCCTACCCCCTGCTCAGGCAGGAAACCCTATAGTATTTCAGACAAATAGTTGTTCTATCTCTTCTTAAAAACTTCCAGTTTTGGCGCATTCACAACTTCTGGAGCAAGTTGTTCCACTGATTGTGAATTTGATTAATTTCACGTTAATGCAGTTTACAAAACAGGCAATCTCGAATGTGGGAGCGATTACAATGTAAACACAGGCATGCGACGCAAGCTGCGATGATGTAATGTACACCTGACTCACCTACCTCTTCTCCTCCTCCTTCCCACGCTCTCCACGGGTGTCCTATCCAACATTAAACGACGCCACCTCCCACTTGCTAACGCCCAAGCTGTTCGGGGTTTTTTTTTTCTGTGCCCTTTTTTTGGGGAGATTTGTTGATCGGTCCCTTCAAAGCTCCGATTTTTTTAAATTCTAACTTACTTTAATTTTTTCCCCCTCTCATCTCTGGATCCCACATCTGGCAGCTCTGGCAGCGCACTTACCGCTGTATCTGTCGGTCAAGCTGTAGAAATCGTACTGATCAAAGTATTCCACCTCGAAAGCGGTCGGGCGCAGCTTCTCGGCTTGGACGAAGGAAGTGGACATGATGAGACGTCTCTTGCTTCCAGATGGCGGAGAAGAAAACAGCCAGGGGCGATGAGGCAGCGACAACCGATCTTCCAAACTTGTTTGTTTGGGGGGGAACTGGATGTCTAGGTATACATATATCTTTTTCCGAGAACGCCCACAATTGCATCAGCTTTCCCCACCCCTTAAAGCTGCAGGCAAGAAAACAGCCCAGCTGATGCAATGGCAGATAAACAGATGTCAAGCCAATACTGTATTTGAGTTTAGCTTCAGATAACTGTCCTCAGCCAAGGACGAAGAAAAAAACGCATTCTTAACACATAAGGTTTTATTAAAACTTTGTTTGAGAACAACCACAAAAGGCAAAAGATTCCTCTGTAAGACCCATACAAGTAGAGCTGACACTATTTTAAAGAGTTTCTGCTTCTGTGTTGCTGTGAGCTTTGTGGATTTGTCCTGCAAATAAATAAAAACAATCCTCCATGTGGTGCCGAAGGTGCGTAGGCATATATGTAATCTGTCTACATCCTTTGGGTGTTAGTGCCTTTGGTGAAAATTGAAATCACTCCTCACGTATTTCAATATGTATTCACCATTCCTTAGTGTGGGCTACTCACTTGTTAAGGGGAAGGGGCTAGGGATATATGAGGTGGTCTTCCAGAAGGGTTGCTTTGTTTTTAAAATTTGTGTCATCTTGAGCAAAATTATTCTATTTCCTGTTTTGTTTTCAAAAGTACATATGAAAAATAGGTTGTGAACTGTAAAAGTATTTTGCTTAAACGTTATTTGCTAATTAAAGTTTTTAAGTTGCCTTATAAAGAGTGAAAAGCATACAATGGATTATCCTTCTGGGCTCAGAGTGGGGTTTTTTTTGAGCCTACCATAGTCTTATTCATTTCTATATTGCTGCTAAATGATGTTAGTAAATATAAACCATGTGTGCATTTTGCATTTTATGCAGAATGATGTTAATAACATAAAATACTTTAGATGTTTACAGACTATGGATGCAACTAGCATGTCAGCTGGAACAGCTGGAAAAAAATCTGTCAAAAAAATTGATTTTTAAAAAACCTTCTGAAATGTAAAAACTTTCAACAGAGACATACACACACACCCATCATCATAGAAGCAAAATCAAATTTCTTGGCATCCTTGATTTATCTTCCTTTTATTGTGATAGTCCTGTCACTAGGATTGTCTGCCCCATTTGGACTTCGCAGTCCCCCTAGACAGGGCCCCCTTGCCTACTGCTTTTTTTTTTCTTTTTACATTTTTTATTGGCTATTAAGATATTTGCCCAGGTCTGGAATATATCCAAGACAAACAGATGGAATCACAAGGACAGGCTGAGTCAATGTTATTGCTGAGCTCCAAGGTGACTTACTCTGAGTTTTTCTCTCTCTACAAACACTGTCTTTTCTCACCCACTTTCATCAGGAACTGTTCAGCAATTTTAAAAAGTTCATTACTGCTTTCTCTTGCCTAGGTATTAATTTGGACACACCAAATCATTGGGTAGTCCTATGAAAAGATAATTTGTGAGGTGTTAGCTTCTGAATTCAATAGAAACCTAGAGTCCAGAGGCACAGGTATTTTATTGATTCCTTTATTACCCAACTGAACAAATAAACAGAAGCATTCTGGGCAGACTCTATGCAAGAGAATGAAAGGTAATTTCTGATACATTCTCCAGCTTGTCTAAAATCTCACCTTGAAGCTGCTGTTGCTCACATAATGGGGGGGGATGGAAAGGTGAT